CAACTGGTGAAAGTATTGTACTACAAGAACAACTTCAACAACAAATAGCTCAAGAACAACAAATGCAACAAATAGCTCAAGAACAACAAAGTCAAGAATAAAAAAAATATTTTTTTATTTTTATAAAAATGTACAGAATAGATGTTTCAGATTTTATGACTTCCAAGCGTTCAGAAATATGTGTCCATTTCGAGACTATAACAAAGCAGTCGAGAATTTGAAACGTTTAGTCATTTATGTCGACTCTGCCCCAGAATGTTATGTCATGAAAGAATGGGATGTTTGTCTTTAACAAACCAAGAGCAACCATAGTTTCAGAACAAGAATGTAGACAGAAACTTAAGAAAATAAAAGTCGTACAAGTTGGCATGAAGATGTTAGATGCTTGGGATATCTTATTGTCAAAGTTAGAAGATTTTTCAGTTCGAGGTATAAAGTTCTATACACCATCTCCAAAATTCTATTCTATCTTCACTGGATATAAATATGAACAAGTAGAATGGAAAGAAAATGTTATAGAAGCTTGGTTAGACCATGTCAAAGAAATTATATGCAATGGAAACGAAAAGGTTTATGAGTATATCTTATGTTGGTTTGCAAACATCTTACAACATCCAAGTGCTAAAAATGAAACTGCTCTCATTATAATTGGAAAACAAGGAACTGGTAAGAACACTTTCTTTACAGATATCTTATGCAAACTGTTAGAGGGCTATTCGAACCCTAATATGACAAACTTAGAAAACATCTGCGGTAAATTTAACTCTTCAATAGAGAATATGAAACTTATAGTATGTAACGAACTTCAAAGTATAGATACAACAAAAGTTTTGAACTCAGATGCTTTGAAGAGTCTTATAACAGACAAAGTTGGAGTTGTTGAAAGAAAGTATAAAGACCAAAGAGTTTGTGAAAATGTTGCAAACTTCATTATGGTTTCAAACAATGTTGTTCCGATGAAGTTAGAAAGTTCTGACAGAAGATATGTAGTTGTCAGAACGTCAGATTCTCATATGCAAGATACAGAATATTTTGACGACTTAGCAGAAACTTTGACATCTGACTTTTACAACCACTTGTTCTCATATTTCATGACATTAGATATTTCAAAGTTCAATCCAAGACAAATTCCACATACCGAAGAAAGACAAACATTGTTAGAAGCAAACAAGAGTGTATATGAACTGTTCATAGATGAAACTGACTTTGTGTCATTAGATGAAAGGTCATTGTACGATTCATATAAACAATATTGTCAAGAATATGGTTATATGGCAGCGTCTAAACGAACATTCTTGGCAAATGTCAAAAATCTTTTAGATGTTCAGAACGGCGTATATACAAAGAAAAATTTTTCTGAGTAAATTTTAAAAAAAATATATATTTTTATCCGATAGAAAAGATGGCAAAATTCATCTCAGTAAATAAGTACATGACAGAAGTCAAAGATAAGTTAGCTCCATTCGCATATTTGAATGTTTACTTCTACAATTTTGAAAAGTCTACATTTGACAAAATTTGGAACATTGCACCAGTTAAGTTTGCTGTTGTTAGAAAAAGTGGTGCAACTTTTGAAGACTTATACATTGACGGTATGTTGACAGTCAAAGAAAATTTTGACAGAAAGTTCTCAAAACTCGAAGAAGGCAAAGCATACAAACTTGTTATACCTTATGAACCAAAGAAAGCAGACGACTATGAATATTATGAGTCTAAGATAGTTGAAGTTCAAGGTAAATTGGGTAAAAAGATTTTAGAGTCTAAACCAGTGTTTGCTCCTAAAGAGGAAGAGAACATTGACATTGACCCAGAAATGTTCTAAAAATAAAATTTTATTTTTACATGTCATATCTCCCCTTCTCTGGCTCTGGTTCAGGTTCTTTCTTCTCTTCTACTTTTTTCTCTTTCTTTCCTTTCTTTTCTCTCTTCTTCTTCTTTTCTGGTGGAGTTATGTCAAATTTGGCGCAACCATATTTATGTAAAAGTTCTTTGTCCTTTAATAGCTCTTCTATTCTGTTTTCTATTTCATCTTCAAGAACAGCGCATGTGCCTTCTTTGCATTCTAAGAACTTTTGTTGGACTTCATCTTTCCAATCGGCGTCATCTCTGTCAACAAGTCTGTCATTGACAAATTTTAAGACTGCTCTTTGTAATGTTTTATGGTTCTTGTCATATTCCCAGAAACAGAACTTTAGAACAAATTCCCCTTTCTTGTTTACACTATGTAAGATTTTATGGTCGACAGATGTTTTGCTGTCGAAAAGCTTGTCTCGAATATAGATAGCGAAATCGCTAGACATTTTCAAAAAGATAAAAATTTTAATTTTTCTAAAAATATGTTAGAAAAAAAGTTTGCTGACATTGACAAGAAATTTGAGAATGTTTTAAATAAGAACAAGAGGAAGTTGGAAAATGCTCAGATAAAACCTATACATGACAAGTTCCTATTTGCTCAGAATGGTATAACAGGTCTAATTGCACCGCCTGGGTCGGGTAAGACTTTCACTTATCTTAAAATGGCTGCACAACAACAAGAACTAGATGAGAAGAACCCATTTTATGAGTTAGTTGTCATTTGTAGTACTTCTGGTCAATTTGACCAAACCGTAAATTCGTTCAAAGATATTATAAAGAAGTCTAAGTTAGTATGTATAAAAGACTCTGAGTTGTTAGATTGGATAAAGAAGTACCAAAGAAGAGTTTTGAAGTACAATGCTATAAATGAGTATGTCAATTCTAAGTTTAAAGACCCAAATGAGGAAATGCAGAGAATATTAGAGAAGAAACACTTCAGAAACAAACAGAAAGAGATAGAATACATTTCGAAGAAATTGCAATCTTACGATTGGAAGACTTACCCTCACAGATGTCTTCTTATTTTAGATGACTTTGCTTCTCATCCTTTGTTAAAGAACAGAGAACAAGACATGTGTCGAATTCTTAAGAAGCTCAGACACTTTAACATCTCTGTTGTCATTTGTGTACAGACAGCAAAGAGTTTAAGTAAGGATGTAAAGAGAATACTTACTGATATCATACTTTTCCCTGGATTGTCCGAAGACGATTTCATGGAACTTATGAAAGAGTCCATGGCAGGTAAGTTTGACAGACATGAACTATGGGAGAAGTACAAAGTCATACAAGACCCTCATACTTCTTTCAGAATTCACATCTACGCGAACAAAGTTCAAATTGTAAAAAGTCAATAAAAATAATGTTTAGGGTAGAAGGTTAGATATACCCTCTTTTCTACCCTCTTTTCTACCCCAGTTATTTTATAAACGTTTTACATGGTAAACGTTATTTTTTAAATTTTGTGAAAACTCAACGGTTTGACACAAGCCCTAAAATATATTTTACTCAGAATTTTACTCAGAATTCAATAAAAATATAATTTAGGGTAGATGGGTAGCTCTACCCTCTTTTCTACCCTCTTTTCTACCCCAGTTATTTTATAAGCGTTTTACATGGTAAACATTGTGAATTCGTGAAATTCTAAACAATTTCGTAGCTTCTATTTCTTCTGTCAGTACATCGAATGTTTTAACAATGCCGAAGGTTTCTTTATATTTCTTCTTGACATCTGAAAGAAGGAAATCGTCAGCTGTTGGATAGTTTTTGTTTAGAAATGTCAACATGTCCATTTTATCCTCTACTGGTTTCTCTGCCTCCCTCTTTAAGTCAGCATAGTCGTTTCGCATACGTTCTATCTCTTTGACGGAGTAGTTATATTTCCTCATTGCTGCTTTACATTTAGAACATTGTGGGTTCATTTTTGCGTTATATTCTGAAACCTTACCTGCTAGTATGACTAAGGCGTCAATTGCTCTCTTTAACTCAAAAGTTGCGGGTTTTATCTGTTCATTCCATATCTTACCTCTTCTATCTTTATCTCTTATCTGCCATACACATTTTGCAACTAACGAAACAAAGTTGTCGTAGGTCTTAAACTCCCCAGATTTGTATATGTCAGAGATGTTCTTATATACCATATCGCAATCTTTGTCCATGACTTTGTGGTTGCAATGAAATCCAAGAAACTCATAGTTAACCTTTCGTATGAACTTCTTTATTTCTACTGAGTCAGTTGCTTTGACTTCTATTTCATCGAATTCTGGAATAGTAAGCTTTTGTTGTTGGATTTCAGGAAGTTTAGGTAGATGGTCAATAATATCCTGCATTTCATAAAGATACTGTTCATTTGTTTCATCTTTTGCGGTACAGTCTAAATCTCCTTGGAGAAGTTCCTGCTTTATCTTCTGGATTGTTGTTTCGAAAGTATATGAAGAAGGAATGAAGCTTTTCATCTCTACTAACATTGAAGTTGGGTTCATGACTAAAGAGTTTGGTGCTGTTGTTGCTAACATGTTCTTACAATAAAAATAAAAAAATATTTTTTTAAAAAAACCAACTTTATTTTTTATTTCGGGAAAACTCATGACAAATTCAAGAGGGTAGAAATGAGGTTAGAAAAGAGGTTAGATATACCCTTCTACCCTAAAATATATTTTTGGGTGTAAAAGTGTCATTTTTTTCATGTCAGAAGACTCGAAGGTGCAACACTTCCAAAATACCGACGAACTCCGAAGAGCAGCATGGCAGTATGTTCTTGACAACTTCTTTGAGTTCTCCAGGCACACCTTGGAAAATGCTGAAGAACTCCGACACAGAGAATTTGGAGAAATTGCACTCCAATACTACATTGACAAACAAAGGGTAAACAAAGGGTAAAATAAGACTAAAAACTTAACGTTTAAAAAGTGACATTTTTATGAGCTCCGAGTCACCGAGAAAACTTGGTCAGATGTTAGCAGCTTACTTCCCTGAGGAGGATGGAAGCGTTACATACGTAAGGTTCAAAAACAACGAACCTGGAATTGCGTACCAAATTCGCAATTACATGACCATGGAAGAGTACGAAAGGTTCCTACAAGAGAAACCAGCTCTAAACAACTCAGAAAAGAAAGAATAAAAAGTTTAACTCGTAATTGTTTATTTTTTTACTTGTATGGGCAAGCTGCAAGAATGAAGTCGACTATCTCGGTCTTTGTCTTGACCAGTTGGACTGCTCTTGCGAGTACGTCTGTTTTGCGGTCTCCAGCTGGTGTCTGACCTTCGTAATTGCGCATGTTCTTGAGAGCTCCAGTTGTAAATGGTTGTAGGATGAAGAGTCTCTCAGACTGCTTGAGGTAGTCTTCACGGTCACGAACCGAATCTGTGGTACGAGTCGAATCGGTCGATTTGAGGGAAGAGACTGAAAGCCTGTCGTCTTCCATAGGGGCTGTGGCATACTCTTTGCGTAAGCGGTTCAGACCTTCTTCGAACTCTTGGTCTCTCTTGGATTGAGATTGAGATTGGAATTGCTGGGGTGGAGCTTGCTGGAACATCCAAGGGTTGGGGAAGTAAGGCATAGGCTGAGGAGGGTAGTTCGGGAAGCCTTGTAGTGGAAATTGGTAGTAACCTTGAGGTGGAAATTGGTAGTAATTTGGTGGAGGTACTTGCTGGAACTGAGGTGCAGGGGCTGGTGCTTTAGGTTCCTCTGGTTTGGGAATGGACTCGGTTGGTGGGACGTCGGACATTGTCTTGAAACAGTACAAATATTGTTCTGAAGCAGTGCAAGTCTTGTTCTGAAAAAGTACAAGTATTGTTCTGAAGCAGTGCAAGTCTTGTTCTGAAAAAGTACAAGTATTGTTCTGAAGCAGTGCAAGTCTTGTTCTGAAAAAGTACAAGTATTGTTCTGAAGCAGTGCAAGTATTGTTCTGAAAAAGTACAAGTATTGTTCTGAAAAAGTACAAGTCTTGTTCTGAAACAGAAAATTTTTCTCACAAATTGAGAGCTTTTACGGGAAATTTGTTCTGAAAAAGTACAAGTCTTGTTCTGAAAAAGTACAAGTCTTGTTCTGAAAAAGTACAAGTATTGTTCTGAAACAGTACAAGTATTGTTCTGAAAAAGTACAAGACTAGTTCTGAAACAGTACAAGTATTGTTCTGAAAAAGTAAAAGACTCGTCTTGAAACAGTACAAGTATTGTACTGAAAAAGTACAAGACTAGTTCTGAAACAGTACAAGTATTGTTCTGAAAAAGTAAAAGACTCGTCTTGAAACAATGACCGACATAGACCCAGCAGATGAGGCAATCTACCTTATAGAGATAAATGAAGTTGTTAAGCAGTACTTGGGCAAGGACAAAGCCAACAAGTCCCTCGGCTTCTGGTTGTCTGGAAGAGGTGCGCTGAAAATCGAAATTGAAACCGGAATTCCAATTCAAATACCAGAAAAAACTCCTGTAGACGACATAAAGGAGATGAAGAAAGAAGCTCTTCTCAAGTTCTTTGCAAAGCGCCCATGGATACAACTTCCAAACAGAGAGAACCCAACTGTACGAATTGCCCAAATTCTCAGAGGACTCTTACACTTCTCGGGTCGGGCGTTCTTCATAAACACAGAGGGCGACATCGTACCTTTACAGTAAACATCTCATTTTAACTTCACTTTTTTTATGTTTTTACTCACACTCGTACTCAACAGGTTTGTGTACAACTATTTCAACTGTGAACCTTGTATTGACCGGTCTTCCTGCAAATGCAAGTTCGGTCAATATACAATTTATGGTGGCAAGAAGGACAGTGGGGAATGTTATTCTGACATCTGTTGTTGCGCTCGAGAGAGAATTGAAATTCCAGACCCAACTCCAACACCAACACTCAAGTTGCCAAAGACTCATGTGAAGAAGAAGCCTTCTGGTAAGTTTCTTATAGCCATATACATGGCACGCTTTGAGTAAAAACATTTTTTTCATTTTTTGAATGAAGCAAGTTAAATTCGTCCCACACCAATCTCAATGGACCGATGAAGAGTTTCAAGCTATGGTTGAAGGTGTTGAGAACGACATAGACGGCGAACTTGAAGGAGCTCAAACCACAATTGCAACCAAAATTGCACAAGTCAAGGAACAGATAGCTCCACTTAAAGCTACCAAAGCTACTCTTGACCTCATGGATACTTACCGTTTAGAAGTAAAGAGTGGAATAAGACAATTAAAATTAAAACTTCTAAACTACGAAGCTATACTCCAAAAGTTAGCAGAAATGAGAAGACTTTACCAGAGCTACTTACATGTAAGGGACTTACCTTCAAGCAGTCCGACCAAAGATGAATTTTCTGACATTGTCCCAATTTTGTCCGAAAGTCAGCTCAGATGTTTTGAACTGCTCCCAACATATCCAGAATATGAACGTTTGCCTGAACTCTTCCGCAATCTCAAAAAACGTTTTTTGGTTCTCATGTTCGAAACTTTTATCGGAAGAGACAACAAACGTTCAGAAGAAGAACAAGATATTATTTTAAACTTGTTGTATGACTTAACCGTCATAACAAGCTTTTTGAAGTAAAACCGTCATTCTCAAACCACTTCATTTTTTCGATGTCCGAACAAGCACCGAAGCCGAACACAATGGCAGATGTCCTTTCAATGTTGCCAGACAAGCGCCCAGTTCAAATTCAAATTTTGAATTTGAAAGCTCATCTGACAAACACCGTTAAGACTCTCCAAAGTAGTCTTATGGAAGAGATGAAGGGACTTAAAGGTGAGTTCCTCATGAACCAAGCTTCCAATGAGAAAGTCCTGAACGATTTGACGGAAACCTTGCGCATTTACGCGAGAGAGAACCGAGACCTTGCCAGACTCATCTACCGTTTCTTCGAAGAGATAGATGCCATCTGGAAGGTACTCGGAAAGGACAGAACCTCCAACACCGTACTTCGTGAACACAGAATTGCCGAAGGAATTGTCGAGGAAGAAGAGAAACACGAAGAAGAGGAAGAGGAAGAAGAGGAAGAAGAGAAACACGAAGAAGAGGAAGTTTGGGCAACCCTTGTTGCCGATGACACTTACGAAATTTCCCAACCCTACCCATACCAAATCCGCAACAAGGAGACCGGCAAGGTTCTTACCCCAGTTCTCAACAACTTGGGACACTTGAACCTTACCCTTCGGAATTACGGTTCAATCTCCATGGGCAAGCTTGTCGCAATTCAATGGGTTCCAAATCCAGGCAAGAAGACGAAGGTCAGACACATTGACGGTGACAAGCTCAACAACCGTAAGGAGAACCTCGAGTGGTTCTAAGAGTAAAAAAATTTTATTTTAGGGGGAAACCCCGAGTAAATTTAAGTTTTTAGTTGCGTAAGCGGCTTAAATTAAGGATAATTTGGACAAGTAGTTCCTGACCTCTGAATTGGACTCTTTCGTCATCCCAGTTGCGTAGGAGGTCGTCCCAGAGGAGTTGGTAGAATTGCCATTCCAAGGACGATTTGTCCTCCCAGGCATTGAGGATGTACTGCTCGTAGAGTCTCATGACCTCTGCCTTGCACCAGACACCCTCTCCCTTGGAACGTAAGGCTTCTTCGAAGTGCTCGAATGCGATTGGCTGCGGGACCATCCGAAATGACACTTTTTGTCCGTTTGGTCAATGTTCGTGTCTCGTGCCATAGTCGACGAAAATACAGACAAACAGGTTATATATGAGTTTGAGACCAAGAATGGTGTAACTCGACCTGTCCGATTCAAATTCGAATAAAAATTTTTTATTTCATGCAATGTTTTATTTCTGTGCCGTCTTCAAGTATGCCCCAGTACTTACGCTTGGAGAGGACATGAACTTCGGTGAAAATTTTGTCCAATTTGAATTGACCCATCTTTTCACCGACTAAACCCATTTCAATGAGTTTGTTGTATCCTTCTTCGTTCGTCATGAGTGCGTCAATGTTCTCATAGTAAACCTTCACTTTGGATTTGACTTCGGAGAAGAATTTGTTGTAGTTGTCAAGGACTGCCTTTGCGAACTGAGGGTAAGACCAATGTTCGACAATAGGTTTTAATGTGGTTACTAAGCCACTTTGACCTTGAGTAAATTCGTACTTCAAAACAAAAGGAGAAAACCTTTCAACAAAGTTGTCGACCTTCTCATAGTGTTTACTCTTCATCTCTTGAGGTTTCTTAATGGAATACCCCCATGTCGAATTCATAAGCAATTTGAGTGTCATTGCAAGTTTGGGGTTTGAAGCTTTCCTAATATCATACAGTTGTTGTATGACTTTTCCAACTGTATAGTTCCTTCCTGGGAACTCACCGTCTTCGTTTGGAATTCCAGTCGGGATATATTGGACGAACCTCATGTATGCAGCGTTAAGGTCGACATAGTATATCTTTTCGTTTGAGTCGAACTTGTCGCAACCAATGGGTCCAGTTCGTGGAAATTCAAGTGAGTCTCTTATCTTCTGAGAAACTTCGCCTGCTATCTCATAAACATCGTCGAAGCAACCTGTTTCATATAAAACCTTCTGACCTAACTCCGATGCTCTCCAATACAATTTGACGTCAATTGGATGTCTCAATGGAAGTTTGTTTATAGCATCTTGAAGTTCTTGCAACCTCATTGGAAGTTCTTCTGGTTCAGGTTGGTATCCGAACAATCCAACTCCTTTTGGAACAGTGTACTTCTTTTGTGCTATAACTTTGTCTGGAACAACTTTTGGTCTTGCTAACAATGAAAAGTTTGTTTCGTCTTTTGGTACAAAAGTTTCTGTCAGCTTGTCATCTGGAATTGGTTCCAACAAACCTTTCTCGAAAAGAATGTTAACAGCTCTGACAATGTTGCACTTGCCTTTTCCGAACAATGGGTTTGTAAGACTTTCGTTCAACATGAAGTGGTTGTGGACAATTGCAATCTTCAACCATGGTAAGTCTTTGTCAACAACATAGTCGTCATGTGAAGAACCTTTCTCAGTCGGAATGTTGACTCGGATATTCACATTTGCCAACGGTGCAATCTTTGTCAATTGACCTCTGAGAATGTACCTTGTCTTCACACATGACTCAAGATACTTCATCTTCTCATCTGTAACAAGACCAGAGTTCCTGAGACATGTAAGAATACAAGGTTCATTGACAATTGTTTCAATTGAATTGTAAATTCCATACCTTGTCAAGTCAATGTCAGACTTATTTATGAACGGGAAGTATCCAGCATGTTGTCTGACTGCTTGAGGGTTAGGTTGGTACCATTCGAACTTGACACTTGCAATTCCTTCAATTGCATTCAAAATGTCTGAGTCGGAGTCAACCATTTGTTCTCTCTTTGTAGTCTTGAAAGCGTCAAGAAGCATTGCAGCTGTTGTGACATTGCCATGCGCATAGTATATATGACCGTCCAAATCTGTTATGGTCAATCTGAGATTGTATCCTTTCTTATTTCCATCTTGAATTGCAGCAAGTACTCCCATGAAGCCTTCTTTGTTCTTTCCTTCGTCAAAGTTTACTGTAAAGGTTCGACCAGATGTAATTTGACTTCTAACTTCACGGTACTTTTCATATGCATATCTTGTTCTTTCCATGGGAGCATGTGCGTCTTCACCTTTTCCTTTTTTCCTTCTCAAAGGATGCAATTGTTCGTCATGTTTCCAGTAGAATCTGGCAAAGCCGTCGTGTCCTTCAACTTGCGGCTCGTTAACATTGAAAGGCAAGTTCATAAGACGTTCTTCTTCTAACCTCTCTAGTCTGTTTGGATAATTTGTGCGTGCTGTTTCCAAGTCCATTTCATAGGTCAGACCAGCCAGTTTGTCATAGACTTTTATGGGTCTTCCCTTCCTATATTTAAACTTCTTTGAAACTTTCCAACCATATCTTTCTAACTCTGCTTTTATTCTAGCAGACCTTCTATCCATTCTATACGGGGGCATTTTTATAAAAATAAAAAAATGTTTTTTCTTTACTTTACGTAACCACCCGCTGCCAAAAGTCTTTGACGCCAACCCATACCAGCTAATGAAGGTTGGCTTGGTTTAGTTTGGAAACTAACCTTTGGTTTTGGTTTTTCTTCAGTTTGTGGCTTCCCTTCTTCTATTGGTTTTTCGTCACTTTTCGGTTCCTCTGACTTTACCTCACTTGCAGGTATGGTTGTGTCGTCAACATCTTCGTAAATATCATATGCCATTTGTTTTTGTTTTCCTTTCAACTTTTTGTGTTTGTTGTAAAGTTTAGAATATTTCGACTCTAAGTCAATGAGATGTTCTATAATGAACTGTTGGTCAGTGAAGTAAACTTTTCCATCTGTTGTCTCGAAAGCTCCTTCAGACTTCAATATTTTATTTGTGAGAGTCTGTTTCTTTTTTGAGATACTAGCCGTTCCATTTCTATGAAAAGTGACTTTGTAGTTAGGGTTTGTATTTCCAGACCTGGCACTTTCTATTATTGAATTTTTCTCTTCATCTGTAAGTTCTTTGACAGGTTTTGACAATGGTTCTGAACTTTTTGTTTGTGGTGTCAAATCTACCGTTTCAACTTCTTCGGTCATTTCATCTCAGTAAAAATTTTAGTTTGGTTTGTTTTCAACTGGTTGTTTAGGTTTTTTAAGTCGGTCTAAAACTTCCTGAGGTATAGGAAGAACTTGACAAACACGTTGTGTAACTGCTGGAAGCCGACAAATCCATCTTGAACCCATTTGTCTCAATGCTGTATTGTTCATTTCATCTCAGTAAAAAACTTTACATTCCCCACGTTTGAGGCGGTTGCGGTTGGTTATTGTTTACCCATTGTTGTGCATGGTTATATCCTCTGTTAAAGAATCTTTCACCTTGGTCCATATAGTGTCCTGCTTGGTTATAGTAGTCATTTGCTTTGTTATAATAGTTTCCTGCTTGTCTTCCTACATTGTCCATCCATCCTTGAACTTTTCCTCTTGTTTCAGGATTTGGAATAAGATTTGCTGCATCTCGTGCTACATCCCAACCTTTCTGTACAGTTTGTATAATAGGTTGTGCTTTCTCTTTAAGTATACCTAATGTACTCAAAATCTTCCTTCCAACTCCAAATACACCTCTGGCTATTGTTCCCACTGCGGGCAAAAATCTGGATGCAACTCCTGCTAATGCGCCAAATAAACCCATTTCTTATAGGGTAAAAATGACGAATCCAAACAAGGACCCCTATGTTTCTAAAGCGACAAAGAAAGCACTCATGAAAAATCTTTAGTTCAACACCAAATGCTTGGTTTATGGATATCTTGGAAAACATTCCGAGGTATAGAGAAGATGGACCACCATACTGGCTAATATTTGTCGGTCAAAACACAAGATACTGTGAAGCCATACCATTACAGTCCAAAAATATTTTAGATGTGAAAACTGCTTTGACAATATTCGTTGACAAATACCATCCAACAAAACTGACATCTGACTGTGAAAGTTCTTTCAAATCAGACGATATTAAAAACTATCTGCGTTCAAAAAATGTAAACCATTATTCATTGTCGACCAAAACCATTCTGCTCTTGTGTCATTGACAGTTGTATAAAAATCTTAAGAGACTTAAACCAACCACAAGGTGGTGAGGTAGATGAAATGTCATATGACGACAAGTATAGACACTTCTCCATGGCAAAGATGAGACAAGTTTTAAATATTTACAATACCCGTAAACAAAAAGGTTTGGGAAACCACTCCCCTGAAGAAATGAAAAACAACCCCGACTTAGAGAAAGACTATATATTTAATAGTTTAGTCAAAAGAGACAAACAAGAAAGAATGCCAGGCTTCAAACTTAAGAAGGTGACAAAGTAAAATAGAAATACCTAAACGCGACCCATATGAAAATACTATTGACTATGACAACAATGGGAACTCGACAGGTACTCACATTCGTGTTCGTAAAATAGAAGAAAGTATACAAGAGAATATTATGAAGTTTTAGGCAAACATGGCAAAATGTACAGACTGCAAGCAGAAGATAAAACGACTATTGTCAGACCTCGTTTTCAAACTTGTCAAAGTTCAAGGTGGTATACTTTCAAAGACAGTTCCTAACAAATATAAGACAACTCCTGACGAATATGCTAAAGAAGTTGAAAATGACGACTAAGCATTTCTATACCATGCACAAACTGTCATGTAAGGTGGCATGTATTTTTTACCTAGTCCTGTAGATGTTGTTGTAAAAGTATGTTGGTGGTTTCCTCCTGGTTCAGTTTGTCGAAAAGTCTTTTTTGCTGAATGGTTATAATCTGGAGATAAAACGTCATAGCCAGCTTCATACTCTGAGTTGTATAATGGGTGGTCTCTTAATGAGTGGCTATGGTCGCCAGAAAAGTTTGTTGTACCAGAATGACTATGTGGTGGCAAGTTGTCGACAGATATCGTTTTACTTCCACCTGTTTTCTTTGGAGTGTGTGCACAATACAAAAAACTTTCGAGTATTTGAGTCCAAGTTCCAAAACCAAGTACTACTTCTGGTCTGGTAGAGTTCATTGACGTATAAATAGAACCAACTGGGTAAATGGTTTGAAGTATTTCTGTCTTTAATGTTTGAAGCTCTGTTTTGTCTGCTTTCTTGTCATATAAATCTTGAGCAGTGAATTTAACTTTATTTTCATCCTCCATGACATAAACATCTCTACATCTAATGTATCTCATCGTTGTTATGTCTTCATCCGATGTTAAACCTTGTGGAAAGTTAGGAGGTTTCCAATTTAATACATCCCACCAGTTTCTTCAACCGTTCCTTCAATATTTTCTATACCAACAGTTGCGAAGAAATCGTGTGTATGTCCAACGTCACTTTTCCTGTTTAAGGTTTCTTGTAAGTTTGTAATATTTGCAATGGTATGTGTATGTCCAACGTCACTTTTCCTGTTTAAGGTTTCTTGTAAGTTTGTAATATTTGCAATGGTATGTGTATGGTTCTTATCCGCTTTAAGGTCTAAACATCCTGAAACCCACCCTGTATCGGCTTTACCTTTTAAAATCTTTGTTGTCCGTTCATGGTACCATTCAACCCTTTCTATAATTTTTTCATCTTTTTCATTCACATATTCCTTATCTGCCTTCTTCACTAACGCACTAGCCACACGTGCTAACTCATCGTCAACATACTCTTTGTCAGCTTTGTTGTCAATATCTGCCTTCAAAAGAAGTTCATCTATAGGTTTCTCGTTTAAAGTTCTTTTTGTTGGATTTATACAAACAGTATGGTTCTTACTGTCTTGAAACAGAAACTCGTCTGTCATTGGGTTTATCGTCAGTTTTAAGTTTCCTTCTTTCAATGACTCAGATATCTTAGAATAGTTTTGAAAAGTTTGTTGTGTTCTTATTTAGAGCTTGCAAAATGAGTTGTCGGTTGTGTTGTATTTCTCTCATAGACGCTGTTTCTTTCGACATTTTTATTCTAGATAAAATATGCTTCCAATAGAAAAAGAAAATTCAAGAGTTGCTACAACTAAACCATTAGATGAACTTTTTACTAATGTCGGTCAAAAGTTTGAGACAGAGACCGTAAAGCATGAAGGCTATCGTTTTGACTACCCATTAAGATGGCTAAGAGACCCATCTGTCACAAAAGCTATTGGCTTTCGTAGAATGAAGTTTGTGTCTGTAGAAGATAAAAGTTTTCCATTTATTGTAAGGTTTCATATAGATTATATATCTGAAGGGAAACGAAAAATGTGGGAAGAAATTGAGCTAATACAAGTTGACCTTTCATCTTCTCTACAGACTGCGTTAAAAAATATAGAAGATAAAATAAATTCATGTTATGCAAAATATGCTGATGAATATGCAAATACCGAGAGCACACTTTATGTGAGAATTGTATATGACAAACAAAATTCACAAGTGTCATTTCAAATCTACGAAGACAATCCAAAGAAAGACGAACAAATATATACAGAATTCACTGCAATGTCATGGTATTATTTGCAAAGAATGTTAAATCAGAAAGTCGAACTTCCTTTAGCAAATATTTACAGTCGATATGCAAGAGATGAACCATATTTATTTAAAGATGTTTTCGACCCAGCTGCTATTATTGTTCATGCTTCATTTTCTGGCGCCCAAAACTCTTTCTTATGCTTGGCAAATGACTTTTACGAAAAACCTACAAAGTTATACGAACCACCAAGTGGAAGTATTTCAGACTTTCAAGTATGGTTTACAACAGATGGAAGAAAGAGAATAATTCCATTATACCATGCGTTTTACTTAGAACTTAGTTTCATATACAACTACTATCGAACGGTAAAAATATAATTTTTTAATACGGTTGAGGTGTTGGATTTGGTTGCCAACTAGACTGTGGTGCAGGTTCAGGCTGTTGTATAACAGGAGCTTGTTCTTCTGGTTCAGGGTCTTTAGGTATAATACCAACAAACTGACCTACCCTTTTACCAATATTTTTGACTCCGTTCCAAATTCCTCTTCCTACGGTTTTTATTCCATTCCATATACCTCTTCCAACATTTCGAAAGAAGTTTCCTATCTTACTGAAGAAACCCATTTTACTATATGTAAAAATCTAATGTCCGCCTAGTCTCTTACGTTTCCTGTTGAGTTCCATAGCATTCTTTAACTGGAGCTCATACATTCTGTTTCTCCTCTGGTAGAAAACATACTCTGGGTCAACTCCTGTGTTCGCGTCATCTGCATAGAGTTGTTTATATCCCACTTCAGGGTTTGTATAAAACTCTTTCCATCTCATATTTGCATACCATGGTGGCAAACCTAACGCAGCGTCATTTGACATGGCAGTTTGCATTTGTACATCTGTTGGCACTTGACCATAGTTTGCCATTGCAGTTTGTATTCTAACTTCATTTGGAATATTCTCTGGGTTTGGTTGTCCAGGTTGCTGTGCATTCGCTAAGTTCTGTGCGTCCATTTAATATTAGATAAAAATATCTCTTACGAGTACATATACTGGACATTTGCAGGCATTGGTTCATCTTCATATTCTCTGTACTTTTCTGCCACGTCAAATAAATAAATGACACAATGGAAAAAACCTAAAACAAGTAGTCCTATTTCAAACCACATTTAGTTACCAATAAAATTTCTTTGTTATGACACTTTCTCCAGTTTATGGGACCTCTCTCATATTCTATCTTGTCATATATAAACTCATAGTCATGTATGTCCTCTAACCATCTCATGACACTTTCCAAACCACTTTTATCGGATGTAAAGTAAAAGCATGGATGGTTATGTAAAACGTCTAAAGTTTCTAAAGAGTCTCTCAAAGTCCAGTCTACTTGGTATTGAAAATCCCATGTGTTATAGAACGGCGGGTCCACTATAAAGAAAACATTTTCCTTGTCTTTATATTTTTCATACAACTCTGTCCAATGACATCTCACAAACTCTATACCCTCAATATATTTTTCTATGTCCTCTTTGAAAACATTTGTATAGTTAAGATATAAAACTTTTGACATAAGTGTTTCAATGTCATGAACTCTTATAGCACCACTATATAATAGTCTAGCAGATATACTATCCCAGTCTATATATTCTGCTTTTTTCAAAACCTCTCTGACAATATCTTTCTTATCTAATGGTATACGTTCCATCTTACCTATAGGTATCTTTTCTTTCAACTCACTCAATATTTTGTTTGTGTCTGGTATATGTTTGAGACGGTTCATATAGTTGTCGAAGTCATTGCATATAATCTTTGAGTCAGGAAATACAGTATGGCACAGATGGGATATATAGAAACTTCCACCGAACAAATCTACAAATGTTAGACCATTCGGTAGTTTCTTAAGTTCTCTCAATAGAATATCTTTACATCTACTCTTATTTCCAAAGAAGGGTAACGGTGGTTTTGTAAAATTCATTTTATATACAATAAAAATGTTTTTTTCCTGAAAAGTGACAGAAAAGTGACAAAACATTTACGAAGAAATCTTGACAAATTCAAGAGGGTAGAAAAGAGGTTAGAAAAGAGGTTATATCTAACCTTCTACCCTAAAATATATTTTTGTCTGATTTTACGAAGAAGTCTTGACAAAACATTTACGAAGAAGTCTTGACAAAACATTTACGAAGAAGTCTTGACAAAACATCTTCAGGGCTAGAAGGCACGAAGTGCCTGGAAGCCCCACTACCTTTTTTTTTTTTTTTTTTTTTTTTTTTTTTAAAACATAAAGAATGAGTTTGTGAAACCCATTTTTCGTAATTCGAAGTCAAAATTCTGAAGATTTGAAGATTTCATCTTCAAATTCTATTGTACCGGAGGGGGGCACAAACTTGCCCAGTGAGGTGAAGTGAAAAATGACAAATTTACAAATCAGAAATGTAAAGTGTCAGATTTGAATCAAAAAATGGATTAATTTATTATTATATGATAGAGAGATTTGGTAAGTTACTATCAAATTTGTAAGTAAGGGAAAAAAAGTAAGAAAGAAAAAAAAATTTTTTAAAAATAAAAAGCCACTCGCTTCGCTCGCGGTTGACAAAAAGAACAAATTCGAAAAATAATTGTATGAAACTACGAAACTAAGCCACTCGCTTCGCTTGCGGCTTAAGAAAAGAACAGATTCGAAAAAAGATTGTACGAAACTACGAAACTAAGCCGCTCGCTTCGCTTGCGGCTTAAGAAAAGAACAGATTCGAAAAAAGATTGTACGAAACTACGAAACTAAGCCGCTCGCTTCGCTTGCGGCTTAAGAAAAGAACAGATTCGAAAAAAGATTGTACGAAACTACGAAACTAAGCCACTCACTTCGCTTGCGGCTTAAGAAAAGAACAGATTCGAAAAAAGATTGTACGAAACTACGAAACTAAGCCACTCGCTTCGCTTGCGGCTTAAGAAAAGAACAGATTCGAAAAAAGATTGTACGAAACTACGAAACTAAGCCACTCGCTTCGCTTGCGGCTTAAGAAAAGAACAGATTCGAAAAAAGATTGTACGAAACTACGAAACTAAGCCACTCGCTTCGCTTGCGGCTTAAGAAAAGAACAGATTCGAAAAAAGATTGTACGAAACTACGAAACTAAGCCGCTCGCTTCGCTTGCGGCTTAAGAAAAGAACAGATTCGAAAAAAGATTGTACGAAACTACGAAACTAAGCCGCTCGCTTCGCTTGCGGCTTAAGAAAAGAACAGATTCGAAAAAAGATTGTACGAAACTACGAAACTAAGCCGCTCGCTTCGCTTGCGGCTTAAGAAAAGAACAGATTCGAAAAAAGATTGTACGAAACTACGAAACTAAGCCACTCGCTTCGCTTGCGGCTTAAGTAAACAACATATTTCAGATTATCGATACTAAAAATTTTTTTATTTTATTACATTTTTTTTGCATTTTTTTAAAGCTTCTTAACTTAAATCATGGAATGTCTCAAAGACAAAAGTAGCATACAGCATGTAAAGCTAAAGAAAGATAATCATAATTAATACCTTAATTTTTAATATTACGCATTTTTAGGTGCAAAATTAAAAAAACATTCTAATACAATAGAGCAGTTTCCAAAAGTAGCATACAGCATGTAAGCTAAAGAAAGATAATCATAATTAATACCTTAATTTTTAATATTACGGCATTTTTAGGTGCAAAATTTAAAAAACATTCTAATACAATAGAGCAGTTTCCAAAAGTAGCATACAGCATGTAAAGCTAAAGAAAGATAATCATAATTAATACCTTAATTTTTAATATTACGCATTTTTAGGTGAAAATTTAAAAACATTCTAATACAATAGAGCAGTTTCCAAAGTGACATACAGCATGTAAAGCTAAAGAAAGATAATCATAATTAATACCTTAATTTTTAATATTACGCATTTTTAGGTGCAAAATTTAAAAAACATTCTAATACCAATAGAGCAGTTTCCAAAAGTAGCATACAGCATGTAAAGCTAAAGAAAGATAAATCATAATTAATACCTTTAAAGTTTAAAATCTTGATTTTTTTAAAAAATCAAATATTTATAACTTTAATACATACATCTTAAACCTTATACTTGTTTTCTCCTTGTGAGAAAGCAATCTTACAAAGCTAACAATCCTAAAAAATAAAGAATTAAAATTTATTAATTTAATCTAAAATTAAAATCAAAATTAAATAAATGAGTTCTTTGTAATAATACTTTCAAGGTAGGATATATTTTAGTGGGATCTATTGAGTCATCACTAACAGCATTGAGCAATCTATTGAGCATTGAAATACTCTCGATTTTTTCTTTGTCTTTTTACATCAATTTCCTGCGTTAGTTGCTTTTTTCAATGATCCTAATGACACGGTCATCTGCTGGATTTTGATCAATTTTGAGTTTGATAACGAAAGATGGTATCACTTTTGTATAAATTTCTATAATAAACAATCATCAATTCTGAGATTTTTCTCGATCAGGAAATAGTCATGTTTGAGTGTTCTTAAAATGAGCTTCGGCAATATTGTTAGTTGCGTCGCCTTCAACGCCTGTCACGAGCAATCCATCTTGATATGTTTAACGCCATTGTCTGTTAAAGTATTGAGATGCTTGTTGGATCTGTGTCGAGCAACTCCAGAACTTGATCATAGGCAGCATTGCTTCTCCTCATGTTCTGCATCTAATTTGAAGACTAAATCCTTCATCAAATTATAGAATTGTTCAAATTTTTCTTGAGAAGAAAAACTTATTTGAATTTGCGAAGAATTGCACGAAGAACATGTACTCCGCACCAAAGTATTTGAGCTTGTGGAATGCTTTCTTCTATTGCTTGAGCTATCTGTGGAGCACAGTCCCATGCTAATGTATTCTGGCTCAATTGTTACCCATCTGAGATAGGCGCACACGCAAAACTTGAATGTTTTGATAAGTGTCTGGTTGACAAAAAGAAATATAAAAAAGGGAAAATGTGAAAATCTTTGATTTTGCCAGTAAATGCATACAATGGAATGTTTGATCGCAACAATTTATAGGTGCTGTCTATATGAAAATGTCTTGATACTATGCGCATAAGCTTTGCCTTCAAAGGCGCGTAATAGAAAACACATATTATTGTCTGAGACTTCAAATGCAATGAGATCATCTGGAGATTCTTCTTGTACTGTCTGAACAAAGATTTGCAATGACACAACATCGTCAGGAGATATCTAGTTTGAAGAGGCATGTATTCTCTCTGCAAATCGTTTGATTGCACGTGGTTTTTGAGCGTACAATCTCTGGAATGGACGGACCTGTAAGAGGAATTTCAAAGATCTTTTGAATGCATTTAGCTGTGCTATCGCTCTTTGATTGTCATCTGTTTGGAAGTAATGTTCTAAATATTTGCGATAAAGACAGACAAATATTGGACTTTTGTCATTTGGGGCGGAATTGATCATGTTCTTCAACTATTTTGATTAGTTTGTATTTATTTTGATCCAAGATTGCAACATTAAAATGTGCAGGACATTTTGGATATTTGCAGTGGAATGAAATCTGAGATCTTTCTTTCCTGACACGTTCACAATATCCATACTGTGCTTGTATTTCTTGTTTAACTCCAAATTTACAAAGATCCATAACAGTAAGATAGTTTTCTTCTTCTAATTCCATTTGAAATTGAAATGAAAATTAAAAATTCAGAAATTTGAATAGATTTGGTCTGTAATTAAATGAGAATAGCAGTTTGTTCGTCATTGTTTGAGGCAAGAGTATTATAGGAATATTATATGATGGATTTGAGTTGCATATAAAGAGTGCAAAAGGATAAAGAGAGAAATTTTTGTTAGATTAAATTATTACAATTTTAATTCTTTATTTTTTAGGATTGGTTAGCTTTGTAAGATTGGCTTTCTCACAAGAGAAACAAGTATAAGGTTTAAGATGTATGTATTAAAGTTATAAATATTTGATTTTTTAAAAAAAAATCAAGATTTTAAACTTTAAAGGTATTAATTATGATTATCTTTCTTTAGCTTTACATGCTGTATGCTACTTTTGGAAACTGCTCTATTGTATTAGAATGTTTTTAAATTTTGCACCTAAAAATGCGTAATATTAAAAATTAAGGTATTAATTATGATTATCTTTCTTTAGCTTTACATGCTGTATGCTACTTTTGGAAACTGCTCTATTGTATTAGAATGTTTTTAAATTTTGCACCTAAAAATGCGTAATATTAAAAATTAAGGTATTAATTATGATTATCTTTCTTTAGCTTTACATGCTGTATGCTACTTTTGTCTTTGAGACATTCCATGATTTAAGTTAAGAAGCTAAATTCTGAAGTTTACATGATCCTCTCGTGTGCACCCTTAAAAAAATGCAAAAAATTGAATACTTTACTGGCTGGGCAAATTTGTCGCCGCCCCAATTTTTCTTTCAAAAAACTACAAAATTGTTCAATTACTCGGTATTATGGATTTTGCAAACGTT